ATAAGATACCGTGGGTGTAATGGACCTATTGTCAACCCGTGGGGTAACGGAACATAATCTGGCCTGTGTGGCGACCCACAGGGCTAACGGAACAAGAGCTGCCCTGTGGGAGTAATGAACAACAGCCAGCACGAGGGTGTAATGGATCAATTGTTGATCCGCGGGGGTAACGGAACATGATCTGGCCCGCATGGCAACCTGCAGGGGTAACGGAACATGAGCTACCCCATGGGGGTAACTGCACAATAGCCAACCCGCGGGTGTAATTGCACAATTGTGCGGCCGTGGGTCCAATGGAACAGGAGCAGACCTGCGGGTTTACCGGACCAAAGCCCACACCCGCAAAATTCAAATAATCATTGGGCTAACCTATGAACTATAGCCTATATCATGGCATGGGCCCAACTTACAAGCCATAGCATTGAAATTTTACCATTGGGCCCAACCTGTTCCCTTAACAAATACCTTACATTAGGCCCAACCATCAACCGTAGCTTAATAATTGGGCCATTGGGCCCAACCATCTCCCTTAACGATTTCCCTTCATTGGGCCCAACTATCAATGGTACCTTAATACCATCATATATCAACGGCCAAAATTACCCCCATTTAAGCCATGTGGCCAATCTATAAACCCTTAGCTTGGACTGTGGCACCGTCGTTGGGCCCAACAATCAAATATACATATTGTCATGTTGTTGGGCCAATGTATAGTATCATAATGTCTTTTGTAATTGGGCCCATTGGGGTAGTCCTATGACTTATTGGGACAATTGTCAATTTCTATTGTTATGGTTCCATAGTGTATCTACTGAATGCCCTGTCATCAGTTTCTATGTTAAGGAAGATCTGGGCCTCCCAAGGGTCGGGACCACATCTATCATGCCAGCCCTGGAGCTGGAAGTGAAATTCCCCTCTCATCTGAAAGAAAATTGTGGGATCATGTGATGGAAAAAGATGAATGCTCTTACAATGGCACAGGGGAAGATAATAGAGTGTAAAGGGAAGGCATAGTGTGTCGCTGTTGCCGAAGCACCTTGCATTCGGTTCAGTGCCGTCATAATAATGGACCGGTATTTACTTGGCGGTTGGCTGAAGTTTTCATAAAATGCTTTTGCAGCCACTGCAAGGTGCGGGGAAGCAAGTTGTCCCTTGTCCAAAGTTGGTGGGCTGGTAGGGTCTTGTGGTAGTGCCACATGCCAGTAAATGAGCGAGGTCCTGATTATTTTTAGAATTGCGCAATGTTTGACTGGGCTGCATTGCCCTTCAACCGTGAGGCTCACCAGCTTCCCAGGGATTCCTTGTACCCTGCAGTCATTGTCAGGAACTTGAATGTTTTGAAACTCCCACTTGCAGACCAAACAGCATCGCATAATACAGTACCTAACAAATGTTGGGATCTAGAGAAAGGGTGATCAACATCACCATCAATACTTTGCCTGATGTAGTAGCCACCGACTTACAGCTTTCTGTAGTTGTTGGAAGTACCATCCACGCCTGCCAGCTGCCTTGGCTCCTACTGCCCATGGGTCGGTGGCTGCCTTTTCATACTCTGTCACCCCTGGCCAGTTTTTCTGTGTGATTGCGAACGAGTTTATAAAATCTTTGTTTGTGAGCTGATTCGATTGGAGGTTAATCCATGCTTTGACAGCAATGCCATGGATATCTCCCATAGATGGCGATGTTCCTTTCCATAGAAAGTCGGACAGAACATGGGAGAGGCTTTCGAACAATGCCAAATCAAAGACATGGGTTGCATGCTCTGTGAAGAGTTTGCCGTTTTCCAGTTCTGTTTTGGTTAATTGAGCCATTGGAGCAAGGGACTTGACATGCGACAGAAGGTCAGCTGGCCTCTGGTAGAGGAATATCTCATCCAACAACTCCTAGTGTTGCAAATACTCCTCGAAACTCCCGGGGGTGCCGGTGGCAATCTGAAATGCCGCTGCATCATGTGAGCAATGGGAGTTTGGCCTGGAAAAATCTCACCATCAATCTGGTAGCGAGTGGTGATGAAGGTGCCTGTGGGCCCCTGTGCAGACTTCTTGCTTGCATTGCTAATGGTGGGTGTTGCTCCTCAACTACTTGGTAGCATGATCATGCTCTTGATACTACAAAGTAATAGTTTGTGTTCCCATGTCTGAGATGGGTCTGAGTTATGCACTGCCAAATTTATTAAGTGATTCCGGGGAATCTAGAACGGAATTCCGATTCCACTGATATGGTTCCTGGAATCAGACAGATGGAATGATGTCCGGAATGCATCTGGAACAGAATCCATTGATGGAATGCTGACAATGCCCACACAAATCAAGCATCGGTGTTTGCCGAGACTCGATT